TTAAGGTTTTATCATGATAGACACCGATTTAACTGCTGTGACACACAACATGCCTTTATGTTAAAATTAAATAAAACCACTTCTCATAAAGAACAAGACCATGGTCTTCTTTTTAATTAAATACTAATGGTTATATAGGCTAATTATGCATTCTTTATAACAACTTGTTTACCATATTCTTCATTTTTTCAAGCAGACATATTTATTTCTATGAATAAATTTAGATTAATCTTTAGGGCTACTAAAGTTTTTCAGTCAAGAGCAGTGCGTGATTTTCTGTCTTTCTTTTGTTGCTTGATTAACATCAATGACTCGGACAATAGCAACTAAATTAGGCTGCCGTCCCTTTAAAACCGAATGCACAGCTGCAATGGATGCAATGTACTGACGCACGTTCTCCCTACTGTTTACGTTCACTTAAGACGTAATCAACTGTGTTTACGTGAATACTTGTCAAAACGGACAATTCAGCATCATTTTGTGTGTAATTCTCCGTCAACTAAATTAACACTGGTTGAATTTCAGGTTTTTTCAGGTTTTCAACTAGATTTCAATATTTAAAAAAAAACAATATTTAGTTATTTTTTATATATTTATGTCATTTTAATGATTTACCTTTAAGTACTTAAGCTGACTTACTGAAAATTGAATATTTGAAGATTTGATTAAGTTCTTATTTCCTGAGATAAATTTCAGTTGTTGTTTTTTTTCAGTATTCTTAATTTTTTATTAGTTTTTATATTTAAAAGCAAGTGGTACTTGTTAACCTATTACCTGAGATAGCTAATAAGTTACTTATTAACTGAGTGTAATAATTAACTGGTATAAACAATTAACTGATAAATGTTTTGCAACTATTGCGGAGTAGAAACAAAAATGTTGTAGAAACTGTAGAAGCTTTTTAAAGCTACACTAAACATTAATATTTAGAGAAACACTGATTTGTTTAATGCACAGACCTATGTTATTTTTTTTTTTTTTTTTAAATCTGTTGGTGTAGTTATCGTTTTTATCATCATCTCAATTTTGTGAGAGCATTCATTTAGCGTATTTCTTGGCCATGCGAACACAAATACGCTTAGGAACTAAATAGGAAAATTTTATTTATTTATTGTGCATTTTTATTTTAGTTTTAAAGGCAGTACTGTAGTTTTAATTAAGTTTTAGTTTTCATTTTTGTAATCATTTAATTATTTTATTTTGGTTAATTTAATTTGTTTATTTATTTTTAGGGCTGGGACAATAAATCGATGCATCGCGTTTCGTGGATCGATTCTGAGATTATCGGAATGCATCGCTATTCTCTCTCGACTTGATTCTGAGCTTAGTGTTTAACAGCAGATGGCGCTCTAGGCTAGTTTTTAACCGCACACTCAAATGCTCACGAAGAAGAGCTCTTGTGCGTTTGGCTGAGTAATGTACGTGGTTAAATGTACTTGCACATCGGATTTTATGCTTTTATGATGCGAGATTAATGTAAGCAGAGCCCACTGTGAACATCCTTGTAATTCGCTTCAACCTTTTCGAACTTTATGAATGATTATTTTAGGTTCAAATGGTGCATGTGTAAAGGGCCGACTTCAAAGAACTAGCGGCGACGAAAGCCGACGGTGTTGTTGCCTCACGTCAGCAGCGTCGGACCAAAAAGCTGCGCTCTACACCGCACGGACTACAGCCGACGGCAAACTAACACGTGCGTTATGCACATGCATGAGAGGAAGTAAATGTCTATATCAGCAGCTATCAATAGTATATATTCGTCATTCAAAAGGAGAAACCGAAACAAAGATATACGAGATAAACGCTGATATACGAAACGTAAACAAAGCAGCGCTTGCTTACAATTTTGAATATCAGTAACGTTGATAACTTTAATTATTTTAAGCAGCTCATGTTGTTATGAAAACATTCGCGTATTAGAATGATTGGGAAAGATCACGTAACATTTAAACAGCCTTCTGTCTTTACCGCCTTCATTTACGTGCTTGTTTTCATCACTTTCGCTTTAATTCTCGGGCACTGACTCTCACTCGCGCCGACAGCCCCGACGCCGATTCGGGCAAACTGCCGCCGACGAGTGGAACACACCAAACAAACTAGCCCGACTGTCAGCTTGGTGTGTCCCGGCCTTAGTTCACCCAAAAATGAAAATTAGGCTGCGTTTTACTCACCCCCGATGCATCCTAGGTGTATATGACTTTCTTCTTTCAGACGAATCCAGTCGGAGTTATATTAAAAATGGTCTTTGATCTTTCAAGCTCTATCGTTGCACTCAGCGGGTGTTGCATTGCTTCAGTCCAAAATTTGCTAAATTAAGGAAACTTTGCTTCCTTTGCTCCTGTTAACAAACGTTAGTTTTCACGAGACTCACGGCGCATGCGCAACCTCATACGTCATGCTCCTGGAACTGCTTCTGTGTACAACTGCTGGCGCAAACTAGATTAAAGTGATTATTACGTTTTGAATATGGATATTTTTCTTACAAAAACGCATCGATTCGCTACAGGAGGCCTTTGTTCACCGCCCGGAGCTGTGTGAGAGACTTTTTTTTATGGAAAGATGCTTTTTATTTTACGTCTTTTGGACCGAAGCAATGCAACACCCGCTGAGTGCAACGATAGAGCTTTAAAGATCAAAGACCATTTTTAATATAACTCCGACTGGATTCGTCTGAAAGAAGAAAGTCATATACACCTAGGATGCATCAGGGGTGAGTAAAACGCAGCCTAATTTTCATTTTTGGGTGAACTAACCCTTTAAGGAACTGGAAGCAAGCAGAATACGGCTATTTCTAAAGCACGCAGTGCCATCTGCTGTTCAAAACTAAGCTCAGAATCGATTCGAGAGAGAATCGCGATGCATTCCGATAATCTCAGAATCGATCCACGAAACGCGATGCATCGATTTATTGTCCCAGCCCTATTTTTTTTTTTTGTCAACAGTAATGACATTGCATTCATCTCAGATGGTCTGGTCACCTGGTATTAACGTGCTTGTCTCTCTGTTTCTCTGGTCGTCCTTAGGTTCAGGAGTCGGTGGCCAGCTGTCTTCCTCCTCTGGTTCCTGCTATAAAGGAGGACGCCGGTGGGATGGTGCGGAAGCTCCTGCAGCTCCTGCTGGAGAGCGACAAATACGCCGAGCGGAAGGGAGCCGCGTACGGACTGGCCGGGCTGGTCAAAGGTCTGGGAATCCTGTCTCTCAAACAGCAGGAGATCATGACCACTTTGACAGACGCCATCCAGGACAAGAAGAACTCCAGACGCAGAGAAGGTGAGCAGAGCGGAAGGATCATGAAGCTTTATGGAAAACTATTGAATTAAATTAAAAGTTTAGTGGGTTTTGTTGGCATGACAAATAATATATTTAAAACAATAAATAATAATATTTTATAATGCATTTATAGAATTTATGTAATTATCTAATAATATAAAAAAAAAATATTTTATTTTTTTCTCCTCAAAAATGACCAGCTAGACAAGTAAACTCAGTTACTTGTTTAGCTTGTTTAAAAATATTTTTAAAATAGTTGTTTATTATGAATAATAAAATAAATTAAAACAAAAACACTACGCTAAAACTAAACTAAAATCAAATACAGCAATGCGAATAAAGTAAACAAGTGATGATAAATGAAATAATGATTAAATAAATAATGCAGAATAAATTCAACCTATTTTGAGCTAGTGCAAGAGTTGTGGTGCTCATATAGGTGAATCAGGTTCGAGTCCAGCTTGTGTACTGCTCCCGTTCCCCACATTTTTCCAGATAATTCTGTCTTTTCTGTTGGATATTTGTCTGTTAAATAAACCCAAATAAATATAAATGCAGAGTAAAGAAAGAAAATAGTCAATTTAAGAAAAAAGTGAGTAGTGAGAGTTGAAGGTAGAAGTAAGCTTGTCATGTTCTCTGTGACAGGTGCTCTGTTTGCGTTTGAGATGTTGTGTAACATGCTGGGGAAGCTGTTTGAACCGTACGTGGTCCATGTCCTCCCTCACCTGCTGCTCTGTTTTGGTGATGGGAACCAGTACGTCAGAGAGGTACAAACTCTTCTGTTTTATACTCTATACTTTTTAACTTGCATCATAACCAGATGGTCATTTCATATAAACCTTAACAGCCCCTGTATTTAAATTCATCATGCTGAACTTGGTGGCCCCGTCCACAGTGAAATCTCATTGGTCCAAAATCCTGCATTACATACATTAAGCATCAGCAAATTCGTGGCAATTTGTTTTTTTGTTTGTTTTTTGATTTTTTTGCTTTCAGTAAGTCCTGCAAACTACTTTCAAACTGTGTTGTGTCTCATCTAGTTAGACTGAGGTTGCAAATGAATGTATCTGTCCGTTGAGATGTTGCATGATGGTTTGCTGTGTGTCAGGCGGCGGATGACTGCGCTAAGGCTGTGACGAGGAATCTGAGCGCTCACGGCGTGAAGCTGGTGCTGCCGTCTCTGCTGATGGCTCTGGAGGAGGAGTCCTGGAGAACCAAAGCAGGTCTGTTTTGTGATGCAAAATAGTTTTGGGAGTTTAGTGTTCAGGCCTTTGTCTGCTGAAGAGATATAATTATTGTTTTATATTTTGATTAGTGTTTTTTTAATTAGTATTTTTTTTAATATTGTATATTTTCTTTAAATTATTATAATAATATTTTCTTTAAATGTTATTTATTTTATATTATTATTATAATAATTATTATTTATCATTCTTTTATTATATTATAGATTTATTTTAATTATTGTTATGTTTTTGTTATAGTATATTTTATTTTAATTGTTGATAGTTTTTTGTAAATATTTAATTATTAATATTATTGTTATTACTATTATTAATTATCATTATCACTGTCACATGAAAATGCATAGCATTGTTTATTTTATTATTTATATTAATAGCAATTTTATTTTAATTGTTTTTATTGTATTATATTTTTTACATACGTTACATTATTTATTTGTCATTATAATATTTTTTAATTATTTTAAGTATAGTTTTTCATTTTTATGATTATTTTTTATTAATCATTATCACTTTCACAGGGTAATGCAGATCGTTATTTTATTATTTTTGTATTTTATAAAAAAAAATTGAAATTATTGTTTTTATTTTATTATTATTTTAGTAGTAGTATTTTTAATTATTACATTTTTTGTTTTTGTTATTAGTATTATTTTTTATTGATCATTATTACTGCCTTATAAGGAAGTGCAGGACATTGTTTTTTTTTTTTATAAGATTATACGTTTTTTTTATAATAATTATTATTAATCATTATAAGTGCTTCACGTGGAAATGCAGAAGTGTAATGCTTTTGTATTATTTGTAATACTCGTGTCTGTGTCTGTAGGGTCGGTGGAGTTGTTGGGTGCGATGGCGTACTGCGCTCCTAAGCAGCTGTCCTCGTGTCTGCCGAACATCGTTCCCAAACTGACGGAGGTTTTGACGGACTCTCACGTGAAGGTGCAGAAGGCCGGTCAGCAAGCGCTCCGACAGATCGGCTCAGTCATCCGCAACCCTGAGATCCTGGGTATGAAATATTAATGCTTAAATGCTTAGTGCTTTGCTTTTTTGATTGAGTGGGAGGTGTAGCACAAGCACAGTGGGGCTTTAATGCAAACGTAAAGGTTTGAACCATACATACTCAGTCACTGAACTGACATTGTGAATTGCGCAGCGATCACCCCCATCCTGCTGGACGCTTTGACCGACCCGTCTCATAAGACGCAGCACTGCCTGCAAACGCTGCTGGACACCAAGTTTGTGCACTTCATCGACGCTCCGTCTCTGGCTCTGATCATGCCCATCGTCCAGAGAGCGTTTCAGGACCGTTCCACCGACACACGCAAGATGGCCGCGCAGATCATCGGAAACATGTACTC